ATCAACACCATAATATAAAACTTGCAGCACGACATTCTTGTCTTCGGAATTCGCGGGCATCTCCCTCCTATGTCACGCTGCATAACGCTTACGCCAACCCTACTAATAATAAGAGTCATGTCAGGGCACATCCTTGTGTTGGGGAGGTAGTCTTCGAAAGGTGATCCCCTCGTCTCTCCCCAATCCCTTAGAATTATGTCGAGCGAGAAGAAGTCGTCTTCTCCTTTCAATTATTGGGAGTTGTGAAATTGCTGCATCTCTCACTAAGAGAGGTGAGTGGCTCCATTCACACTGCGCCGAGAAACCTCAAGGTGTAGCGTGCCCTGATCCCTCAAAGAAATCAACTACCCCTGAAGGCTTATTCCTTCCTCATGCTCGCCTTTGAAGCGAGGTAATTCATCGTTTTGGTCCTGGTCAGCAAAGCTGCACGTATATTTTTTCGCCTTTGATCAACTTGTTCCACTGAAGGCTATGAGCACACCTTTTTTGACTGGTAGCCTGAAAAGCAAGTAGAAGTTTTGAAAGGTACAAGAGTAGAGAAGAGCCCAAAGCCCTTCTCGTCGCTGAAGCAACTCCGCCATAACCCGTTCGGCTGGAGTCCCGTAGCAGCCACCTGAATTCGGCGCGGAAGCTCACGGCGGAATCGGAGAGCGGCTGGTCTTTGTTAAGTTGCTTTGAGCGGGCTTTCGGCTGCAAAACACACCATGTATTGCCCGCTAAGGGTTTCACTCCCAGAAAGCGTACATATACACCTTGGTAGCCCAGCCAAAGTATCCCACCCGAACACGGAATACGTTCTTGTGACCAATTTTTTTTGAAAGCTCTCAATCAGATTCAGCCTCGAACCTAGGTTTCCGTACGCGCGCCCAAAATCAGCTAGCGCTCGCTCGGCCTGTTCTTGGATTACCCTTTCGAACACTTACGGCACCCTGTACACCTTTTTTCCGCTGGTGATATTTCAGTGAAATATCCGAAGCTCAGCTTTGATCACCAGCATGGTCATCAAGAAAGTAATAATTTTTACAATAAAAGATGAAGGCAGTTCTTTAGATGTGGTCAACGACGCCACAGTGCACCAATGACTGGTCAATACTGCTGCAACCGCTGAGCTATATATTTCTCTTTCTCTCGAGCATGATCAATCCGATTCTTTACGCGTTTCTTTCGAAACGTTTCCGAGAAGCAGCTAGCGACATTTTTTACTGCAAGTAAGTTTCCCGTTTTCCACTACCATTTAGCTCCTGTACCTTCTGGCTTCTTACAAGCAGCTCTAGCTTTGAATGCAACTGTGGAACTGTCCACTTGCTTCCGCGAATACTCAGTTCTTGCTATATGCGAGATCAATGGATCCGCTTCCCTTCAAAAGTGCACGTGAAACGAGCTGGAGGATAGTGATACTCCACGCTGCGTCAACCCACCCGCACATCCGACTAGAGCCAAAGGCGTCAGGAGCCGGCGGAAGGTAAGGCCTGATTGACCCAGACGGAAGCCGGTCAGGGTTTGATTCCCTTACAGCTCGCATAGGCCAGCTTTCGTAGATTTCGCGCCACTCAGGGAGGTTCAACAAGGTTTCACTACGATCACTTTGCCTGCTACATCGGGACCTTGCCGCTCCTAATGACCGCGGTTTGGAATGTTCTACCCCTTCAGAAATCTTGCTGCCCAAATATCTCGACAATGAGACAATGAGTAGAAGCTGATGCTCGGCTTTCAGGACCCAACAAAAATTCTTTCGGTATCGTACCACATCCGTAGGTAACGGATGTGGTCCGCTCCCCACTCTGGGTGGAGAAACTTTTCACAAAGAACTATTCTGTCGAATCAGGTGAATTTGTTCTAATATTTGAGCTCAGCGTGGTATGTATATCTGTAAAAATTTCTTGGTTTGCTCTCCTAACTCTTTTGCTCACCCTTTCTAGAAGCTGCACTCTGGGGAACATAAATAGCCAACGTAATCGTGGCTTTACAGTTGTTTCGTGACATGTCACTCGGCGGCTTCGTTCAAACTTCGCGATGGTGCGCATCGTCGCGCTGCCATTGCAATCAGGGCACGTGGTGGAGGTGGGGATGGAGAGACGAGGGGGCACGGAGCTTTTCATGATCCCTCCCCCCAAACTTCTCATCTGGTACCTCCCTTCCCATCACCTAACTTACCTGCCGCTTTCCTAAAATTTTTTAACCTCCTCTTCCTAGCACTGAGTTTTTGTCCAGAAAATTTTCAATTTTCCTCAAAATTTGCTGGGGAGGGCTACCCGAGGAATAAAAGACGGAAAAATGTCAACAACTGAATTTTTCACAACGGTAAGTACGACCCCATTCCCTCAGCTACTAAATACGATCCCCCTCACTGGGGATCCCAACGTTCGATGTGCCTTCATTGCAATAGCACTCTAATGCCAGAAGCCATAGACGGGTATCGATCAGCATCGGCCGCTGGGGTTTTTGCACCTAGTTCGCTGCGGACGGTGGGGCCTGTCAGGCAGTACGAGTGTGCCGCGCTGTCAAAGCATTCTCTGCCTTCTTGTTGAAGCGCGCATGCGACAAAAAGTGGTAGAAAACGAGTAATACGAACGATATGATACAGTCATATCATTTGCTCGCTTTAACAACTGGTGGAGAACGGGTTTGGCACCGCGCCAAACTCATCCCGCCTGACACGCCCAACGCAGCGAACTACACTATAGAGAGTATAGGAGAACAGGAGATCACGCGTTGCCTACTCACACACTCTGGTATCCTTCCTGCTCTTCTGTACCCTTCCAAAATACCAGCAGATGTCGCTGATCGATACCACATTGTGGGACCTCCCCTTCCATTTAAGTAGGCTCTCTCGAAACACTAGCGACCTGCGCCATCGGCTACGTTCCCGTCTATAACACTGGAGCGCGATTTCAGTTGTCAGTTGACGCGCGTCGTCGTGAAGTCAGAACGCAGCCCAACAATCAACTTCACATTTTGTCAATAAATATCCTCATGTCTATGTCATCTTTTCTTGTGCATGATTGCATGATGGCATGATTGCGGTTGTCCCAAAACGAAAATATGCCTTCAGAAGCGCAAGAGCTGCCACCCTCCAACGAAGAACACTGCCCCGCCCTCCCGATCTCTGGGGTATGGGGTGTGCATAGAGGCTAGGTTTGTAGCAGCACTCTGCAGTCACTTGAAGGCGTATAGCAAGAAATTACGAGGCCTGTGATTGTTGGATGCATCGCGAATTTCCGCCCACTAAGCACGCCGGTCACATCTGACGCGCTGTTCGTCTGTGTCTTTCCATCGGGATGGTGTTCGGTAAGTTTCCTTGAGTAAAACCGAACACGACACCAGCTTTAGATTCCAGAACAATGACGTGATTTGAAGGGTGTACAGGGTACAGAATCGTTGTGTGGAACAACACCTAGGGGTCGTACTTTTCCGCTAGGGAGGGGTGGGTCGCATTCGGTCGTTTTTAGGAGAGGGGGGGGGGGTGTATGTGGCTACGATAGGAACTTGCCGCTTCGGAAAAATTTTTTCTCGGGTTTTTGACTTTACGTGATTTTTCCTGTTTCCTGTGTACATCTCCCCTCACCACTTCCCCACTCCCTCCCGCTCGACAGCAAATTTTGTAGAGAAGTAGGAAAATTTTCGGTGAATTCCGTGAAAAGTGGTAGAGAAAGGTGGTGAAAAACTAAGAGATTCCGGTTTCACACTGGCTATGTACACCCAACCCCCCCTGAAAAGCTGGAAAATGTGGGCAATTGTTGGGGGGGAGGGGTCGCATTGACATTCTCCCTCGAGGGCGGTCGTACCAACACCACCATTTCACACATCACTGTGCTGTACCCTGTGTACAAAATCTCGTTGCCTGGCAAATAACCGCATGTGCTTCTTCCCATCTTCTGATTTCAAGAGTTTGAAGCTTCACTTAGCTCTGCTCTGCCACCACATTCCATCTCACCATCAGTTGATCTGTTCTTCTTTTTAGGAAAGGATTTCTATCTCATCTTAACCGCACACGATCACGAACTCGGACGATCGTCTCCGATTTACCCGAAGACTCGCGCGGTCCAAATCCACAATCCGTCACGATTCGGCTGAATCGGTTACGATAGATGAAGCAAGCTCGATCCACTTAACCACTTCCTAGTAGTGTCTTATTCAGATTTCTAAGGCCACATATCACTAATCCTTGTCACATATCGAATGCTGACCACTAGATTCTAATCTTGCCTTGGAAGACAGTTTCCGCTATTATTGAAAACTAGTCCTTTTTGGAACTCACTCCTGGATCTTATTGGCGAAGTTCGGCTTGGTGGGCACCAAATACTACTCAAGGAAACTGTGCAGGCTCCTGGGAACACCAGTAAACTTCAGTTCGGCGACGGAAGGGGGGCATTCTGCACTTTTGCTACTTACCCTCAACGTGCCGACCCATCTGGACAGCTGTTTCATGAGCTACAGGAGTTGACAGGTTTTACCATGATGGCTCGACGAGCTTGCTCCAGCTTCACAAGAGTTCACAGGTTTCACCAGAGTGAGACTTGTAAACCAGGAACTAGTGAAGCAAAAAAAAAGCAAAATGTTCCCCATCCCAGCTGCCGAACTGCTCCCGCTCCTGTTGCTGAAGTGACTTATTGTACCAGTTCTCAACTTCAGAGAGTTTGAGAGTTTAGAGGTCTCACCAGAGTGATACTTGTCAGCTAATGTGAACTAGCAATAAAAACCAGCGGAATTGCAAAAGGCTCCACCGTGGCCGAACAGCCCCCCCCCCCTGCTCCCTTATATTTCTAACATCATCAGATTTGATGGATAAATCTCACCTTGGTGCCGCCTTGTACATTTTTTCCATATGCTTCTCGAAAACTTAGTACCTTTTTTATATTATTTCTCGCCTTCGAATGTTTCCTTCTTCTGAGCCTCACGGAGTAGAACTGATTTGGAAGTTTCCTGGAGGAAGGGACTATGCAACACAGACAAGCTCTTTGTGCTCTGCCGTAGCCCAGTCCCTTGAATAATTGTATTTTCTGTGTACAACTAGTATTTTTCCCTCTCACGCGATCGGGGTATAGTGGCCACTGCTTTGGCTCAATGATCAAAATATGTGCTAAAGTGAGTGCTCCCGCCAGCTTCCGAATACTTACTTTCGCTGCTCGCTGTCTTTTTTCACTTGTTAGTGAGTCTTTGTCACTTAGAAGATTCCTTACCCTCTATCCTGTTCTACCTTCTTTGTTTTCTTTCCTGTCATTCAGCTCCTTTGCGCTCGAATCCTCCTTACTGCTGTGTATAACATTTCGTCATATCATAAGAGATCTATGTGATACTATTCGTCGGGTATATCTTTATTCCAAGATTCTATTGTCGTGACTTCTACCTGATTTATCAAATTTTGAATAAAACTGAAGACATGTTGCGAGAATGTTATAGCAGGAGAAGCTAACTAATGAAGAATAATCTCCTTCGTCAGTAAATCCATCCCAGTCAATTACACTCTTATGTCAAGCGGCACGATAAATCGAAACGCTGATATGGCGTACAGGGTCAGTATAACTAGTACTAAAGAATATTGTGCCTCGACAGGGCTCTGTGGTGCCTTTTCCAATCAAGGGCTTTGTAGCGTCTGACAATTAGAAACAAAGAAAAACAAACATTGGGGAAATGCATACACTCCACAGCACAGATGATCCGTTTCGCCCGTTGTCGTAGACGAATCATCGAAGTCTTACCAACCCCCCGGGCTCGTCAGTACGACAGGGTTGAAGACATGGA